CATTTTTATTGTTTTACATTCATAACGGTCTGAAATAGAAAATGCCTCTGGAGTCTTGATAATTGTGTCTGAAACGAGGTGAGAGGTTAGAAAACCGCATCTAATGGTTTGAGGAGTAGCGACCTCGGATTTTCAAGCCGATAAGCTGGTTCCTTTGCATCTAAGGAATTCATGTTGATAGGCGGCAAATAAAGTTTCCACAAATCTGAACGTTTTCATTTGTCCCCTTTTTGATGACAGCCCGGCCGCGAGCAAGGGAGAATGAAGACGTTTACATACACCACGCAGGCTACCGTACCGATTGAAATGACTTGTTTCCCTCGCTAGTTAAATTTGTTTTTACCGCACGATTCTTTATTGATCTGCGAGACACCTGTCGCGCTTTTTTCTTAATTAGTCGACTAAATTTAGCTTTACCTGACCTTGAAAAAGCGACAAAAAAACTACAAAGTAATTCCGTAAGCTTTGTAAGTAAGTAGGTAATTTACTCAATGTCAATAACAGTTCTTGCGCAATCACCCGAGCAGCGGCTCGAATAATACTTATTTCAGATGTAGTGTATTACCATCAGACGCAAAGGGTCCAAAAATTATATTTATGGGTGGTCTTTCATAGAACGTGACTTCGATATAATGGCACTGTTAGAGCAAAGCTTGAAGAAAGCTTTTCTAGCGGTTGGATTTCGGCAACAACCCTTTAATCCAAGTTATCCAACACGTATCTGTCAAGAATCCAGAAATTCTTTCGTCGCGTGCGAGTTTGAAACAAGGTCACTTCTTATGTTCTTATCCCGAGACGGTATGTTTACAAAGCCATTAATAAACAAGGTTAAATGGTTCGCATTTCTGAGTGTTTGGATTCTACAAGATCAGCTGCACTGAAAGTTGGATAAAGGAGATTGAGATTGGTAGATTTGATCTGTAGTTGATGTTAACACGAAAAAGGTGTATTTCCTCCCAATCGCCTACTTGAGTATTGTGAGAGGAGGCGTTGTCACTGCGCTCGCATTGTTCCGCTTATTAAACTAAGAACTGATTATGATGACTAAGTTGTCGTAATGCGCTTAGCACTTTACAAATGTATGGTGAGTGATCGCAATCATATTCCCGTAGTGAGAAACACGAACGCTGTTTTTGTCCGTGTTTCTCGCCGCACAGCGAGAGAGGCAATCACTGGTTCCTATACATTTGTTCCCCTTTGCTGAACATCCGGGAGCGACCCTATTTATTATTTCATTTTAGTCTACTTTGTGTTCCTCGAAAAACATTTCTGGCATTTTATCGAATCCAGTAAAGTGCGCGACCTCTGAGGAATGGCTTTTGCGATGTTGATTTAGTTTTTAGAAGTAATCATTTGTCACGGTTTCACTGTATTGGAAGCTGTCGTCACTGACATAAAACGTTTGGAAATCAAGCTGGTTGTGAGAATTTCAATCATAGCTAATTATTGCACTTCCTTATGGTTCTCTTTACTCATGTCGCCTAATTGCGTGGCACGTATTTGTGACTTAAATTTATCTTTGTTATCGAATGTTGTCGTTATAAACATTGCCAATCTATGCCACTTTGCTTATCAATTCCTTGACTGAGTCAAACACTGGGTTTCCCTCAGCTCACTGCTGTTTTATATAAGATGGCGATGACGTCTTCCAACTTGAGAAGGGTCTTTCAATCATGAAACATGTCGTTATTAGTTTCGTTAATTATAGTTTACGTTCTATTTCGTTGTTTTTTTTTCTTTCACGCAACCTGTCTGTTAATTGATCGATCAATCAGTCAGTCGGTCAATTAATCAATCAATCGGTAAATCTGTCAATCAGTGTGTCAGTCACCGTTCGCTCAATAGGACCACCAAGTTAAATCAAAATCGCCCTAAGACTACAGTGTTCTCAAGGGTTAAATTAAAGCTACCCCTTTGTGTATGTTGCTTACGTCTCGTTTAGAAGCTCGTGTTTATTGTTAACTGATGGCGAATCTCGACAACAACATTTATTTACACGAGAGAGGAGAAACCAAGAGTGAAAAAATGCAATAAAAATGAAACTTCCGGTAAGAATATGGTTTTATCTGCACACAAACTGATTAACCGTGAGACTCAAAGTAATTAGGTAGTTCTCTGTGAGATTTTTGTGGTCCTGATCCACCAGATCAAACTAGAGTGTCTCAGAGAATATAGACTGAATGGAGATTAGGTGGCCACAATTTCGACACCATGTTAACATTACATCGATGTAAGGCAAAAACACCATCTAGTATCATTCTCGAACCAGTGCTACGTACTGGGTTTCAACAAAACAATAATTGTTGTAGGCTTCCTTCATCAAAGGCATGTCAGTTTAATATTGAAAATAAACAAACCATCATCCATGGAAATGGCTACCATGGTCTTGTCTCTGTTAGGTTTTAATTAGTTTCTAAAGTACAGGACTATCATCAATATTTCTCTTTACATGCAGAGTTTTCGTGAACTAAACATGATATGATCGTTAAGGTAAACAATTCAAAATTATTTTGAATTCAAAACCGCCAAGCCTAGCAGAATTTCAGATGCTACAATATATTCATATATTAACCGATTACATTGTTTTGTTTTCTACAGACAAAAATAACAATAAATAAACGCGCATTTCATCCCTGATGCACAGAAGGATTCAAGCCGGCGCAACTTCCATTATCTGTCACATTAAGTATTGAAATCTTTCAGAAGTTGTTACAGACGAACAATGTAACTCTTATCACTTCTTCCATCATTGAAACAAAATGTTCGCTTTGCGAGCCAATCAAAACTTTGCTCCTAAATGGGGTGATTCTAAGAAGATTTGAAATGTCAACGAGTGATGTATGATGTCCTTATTAACAGCGGAAATTCAGCTTCAGAGTTGGAGACTATGATTTTTACATAGAAGCCATCACGAAACTCAGAAAGTTTCACATCTTAAAAATGTCTTATAGCCTGAACGATTGGGACAGTGCTCCTAAATCTACAAGTACGGAAACATTAGGAGTTGACCGGAACAAAAATCGCGAAGAGGTCGATGATTGCGAAAGACTTGAAAAGGGCTTCAAAAAAGGTACACGCAGCACCTGCCTGATTGTTTCACTAATACTCGTTGTACTTCTCCTCATTACTTGTGTCGTGTTAAGCGTTTTCCTCGTCAAGGAGGTCAACAAGAACGGAGAAGCAGGCACGCAGCCGAAAAAACCGTCCAAAGATCATGAAGAAGGCGACCAAAAACTGTATTGTTATAGCCCAGATTGCCTGCAGATCGCCGCTGGTTTCGCGCGGAAAATGAACACGTCCTTCGACCCATGCTTGGACTTTTATCATCATTCTTGCGCTTCTTGGATGAAAGAGAATCCAATTCCCCCTGCAAGAAACATGTATGATACCTTCCTTCAACTGGATGACGAAAACTCGAAGAGGCTCCGTGACATTTTGGAGGAGATGGATGAACTCCCCGAACAAAGTGCAGTGAAAAAGATAAAGAGCTACTTCGAATCTTGCTTGAATGAAGAAGAGGTGGAAAAGGAGACAAACGCAACTTTAACACCTGTCATAGCCAAATATGGCTCCTGGGCCTTGAATAACGAGACATGGAATGCTACTCAGTGGAAATGGCCCGAAATTCTGCAATCCATGATCAGGGATCTAACAGGAACGCCGCTTTTTGAAGTGGGGATAGATATCAACCCACGAAATTCATCTCAACATATGATATCGGTAAGCTTGAGAAATTTGTTACCAAGGAAACTAATTTACCCAAAGTTGTTCTAAAACAAGTCAATCTGAATTCACCTAGCACACAGTTTGAGATGTTTAACATTTTTTTTTTTGGCTTACTTACAGATCCTTACAGGAACAGGTAAACCCGTAAGGTCGGCTTTAGGACTTAACAAGGCTTAAAAATGAAAGAATGCTTTGCTTTGCGGTCCAAATATTGCTAAACTTGACCTCAAGACGGCAACGTTGAATAATCTTACGTTAAAACAGACTACTGACGCTCACAAAGAATAGCTAACATTTTTCAACAAAATAGACATTTAGGAAATTTGAAGTGTACGTGTCCCTCTTTCAATGCCCAGCTGAAAAATAACTCTAGCCTACTCTCTCTTTGCTGTTGCTCCTGCCGTTTTGCATTTGGTTTTCCTCAATGTTGTTCTGTTTTTGTCGTCATTGAAGCAAACTGAAATAAATTCTACGTCAATCGGTGGAAAAAAGCATGGCCATGTGAAAATTACAACATTTACGTGACCATTTTTCAAATTGTGAGCCCTGAAAGAGATTTGATGACACAAAGTCATGATGGCAACTCTCAAAGGATTACTGCGATTTAATTACAAGATTTTCTTATCCACTTGATGGAGCAATGTTTTCCTTCTTAGGCTCGTTCAGGACTTGATTTATCAACCAGATATTTCCATGGCAACGCGTGTTTGCTGCTGAGTGAAAGCGATCGAAAACATTCGACGGATACTGAGTTTTCTATAACCTAACTATAACATTTCCCTTTTCATTCTTTTTTCACTTTTCTTTTTGGTCAATAGCTGAGTTAAAAGTCACGTCACTGTTTTTTGCGGCTCAATTACTTCTTTTTGCCTCGTTTATTTTCCTTTGCATTATTCAACCACGTGATATGCAGCTGATTATTTTCACTGCGGTCAAACAGTCAGAGGAGTTCTTAATAGTAACGATACCTGTAAACCGCGCCACATTTTTCAATTCAACATTATAGCTCAATTGGATCAAGTCGTTTGTGTCAGTTCATAGCAAAAGAAATCGCTCGGTTTGTTCTAGCAAGCTTTCACCCAAATTCAAACACAAGGTCTTGATTGAAGACTTTCAGCCAATCAGTGAGCACGTTATGTGTATGCCGACCATGTCCTCACTGGAAATAACAGCGACATAAGCATATGCATAGCATAAGTTTTAAGAGAAAGCTTATGCTTATACTCATGTCGGCGGGCCGACCTTATTGGATCACTAGCACATAAGTCTCATAATATGCTTGCGTCGTAAGTGAGGACCGCGCTTAACCGAAGCGGTCCATGGGATATGCTTGTTTTCTGGAAACGTTTGGAACCAGTCACTATTGGTTTTACGATAGGAAGAGTTTAAAAGCTCCCTCTCTGATTTGCAGTGTCACTAACAATGAAGGGCAATATGACATTGCGTGCAATTATTCTCACAAACCATTACAGGTTTTATAACTTCCGCGTTCGCTAATTGCAGTCAAAAGTCCGGGTTGAAACATTCCGCTTACAAAAATATTGCATGACAGAGCGGTTTCTGTTCTTTGGTTTAAAGTCGGAAATTGGATAAAAAAAGTATGGATACCGCGTTCATTTAATAACGTTAGTATGTCTCCTAAAGAAATCGGTGGGACATAATGCGTTTAGGTAAGCTTCAAAGGGCGAAAAAGCGGCAAAGCGGCAAATATCCTGTGGGAGGATGGGGGTAGAGGGGGACAATCAAGAAATCCAAACCAATTTGCCTTTGTTTGACAACTAGATCAAATTTACATGAAAATGATCAGGCGCGTTCATATAAGGGCTTGACACTAAGAACTCGTTTTGAAACAAAAGGTAACTGAGGAACTCGGAGATGGCCTCTTGGGAGTAAACTTCAAAACTAAGGACACCTCCAGCGAGGACGAATACATGACAGCCGGACTCAGACTCAAATGAGATAGACTACTTCTAAAGCAAGTCACAGGCATCTTGTTGGTTCATTAGTTAGAAGACATCTTCAACCAATTTACCAAAATGCGATTTAATTACAATTTGACGAAACAAAAGAGAATGTAAACAATCCAAGCAAAGAAGCTTATCTCTTGTCAAAAATCTGACATTTGTACATGACGGAATTTCGAGGCGAACTAATATTAAACACATACAATGTTTATCGTCAGTGATGGATCGGTGATCAGAAGTGACAAAGGTAGAGCAAGTCGTCGTATTCGACTGAAGACTGCGTTGATATGGATGCGTATCGTACCCGGGGTGATACAGAACTGGGTTATACAGGTAGCACGCAGACTTTGGGTGTCAAGTCCTTAGGTAGCACTGCGTCGTTGGCAAAAAATGGCCGGAGAGTTCGTTCGGGCTTGATTTTTTTCTGCGTACTTCTGCTGCTTGTCTGCATTGCGCTCGCTGCTTACCTGATAGTGACTGCCGTCAAGCAAGATGGATCAAGTGAAACAGATGGCGAAGCATGCAAGAAAATGAAGACTAGCCAACAGAACCACTGTAGTTCAAGTTCATGTCTGGAGGTTGCAGGTGCAATAAAGCAGAACCTGAACGAGTCTGTTGATCCGTGCAAGGACTTCTTTCAATACTCCTGCGGCACTTGGATCAAGGACAATCCAATTCCATCATCTGAAAACCGGTTCTCAACTTTTTCTCAGCTACTTGACAAGAACAACAGGAAACTGCTGTTGCTCCTGTTAGAGGATGACGACTTTCCAAGCGGACACGCTGTAAAGAAAACTAAAGACTATTTCAAATCTTGCATGGCGGAAGACCAGAATGACAACACTGCTGTCCCTGAGTTAAAACGCCTTATTACTCAATACGGATCGTGGCCAGTGGGAAATACTTCATGGAAGGAGTCAACATGGAGTCTTCCTGAGGTTTTAGTGGCATTCCAAAGGGAGTTTTCATCCATTTCACCTCTGTTTGAACCTCAAATTGATACAAATCCTTTCAAGTCTTCACAACACATTTTAAAGGTATAATTTATTGCTTTTTGAACAATAATTTGTATGATCACCAAGTTCTTGAAAAACGACTATGACTCTTCTATTTATACATTTACGCGGTTTAATTTTACATTGCTTCAGATGTCTTTGTTTTCCCTGTGTCTGAAAACTACACAAAGCTAGCGCAACTTATGGGTTAAAGGGTAATATGGTCATCAATCCACAGAAATATATGTTACCGTAGTTTTAGCATGTCTCATTGCATACTTATAATTGCTACCTTTACTACTACAGGCATCAAGTGTCCCCTGATCCTCTGAGGGGGGGGAGGGGATACGCATAAAATTACAAGATAAACTGTTTGATGTGCCGCTGGATAGGAATGGTCACTTTTCTTTTAATATTTTTGTGGTCTGAGGTAAAATATAATGGAATAAAATGTAATCCAAGATGGAGTTACTTTGAACTGTACGGTGGGAGACGATGATCCCCTTAAACATTGTGGACTACTCCCCGGTCGTGAACACAAACCGATTTTAAAACAAAATTAGTATTCGATCCTCATAAATCCTTCTACGCCTTGTGTCATGTTTCCTTGGGTAGCTGGAGGTTTTGCACTCAAGCGAGTCCACACCCACCGAGTTCGCACCCACGCCACACCGATTCAACTATGGACCAAGTGCTTGAAATTTATCTTTTTTTTTACCGAGCAAAAAGACAACATTTTGGATATAATAATGAAACGAAATCACGCAGAACATGTTTATTTCTCGTTCTTTAATCCACTGAAGGTGAAGGCGAACTCGAAATAGAAAGTTTATAAGGTGTTTAGGGGTGCGAACTTGATTGGGTGCGAAACATTAACAGATAGCATTCTTTCACTGAGTTCGGTCTCGCTAGCCCTGTAAATAACCTTCTGCCAATTAGTGTACAAATCCCTGTCTGAGACCCTCGGTGGTATGTAGCGTCTGTGACAGCGCAGTCTTGGAATTTCAGTTTAATTTGATCAATATTTCGATCATGGAAATTAACAGACTCGACACGATTATTCTAAATGTAAATATCTTGGCTCTAAAACCTCGCAATGTTGTAATTCAAGCTTGTCAAACAAGCTTTTTAATGTGAATTCCAGTGGTGTTCATTTCTCTGTTCAATTATATTTTTCTTCACAGGAAGTTTGATAACCTCTTATTATTTCGTTCTGACGTTTGTTGTTTGAAAAGATTGTTTGGTAAAAGCTGTTTTCTGTTGTTAAGCCCGAATCAAATATTGACAAGTTTAAGACAGGCAGCCGCGCTTTAACTCGGGCTGAACGTTTGTCTTTTTCCGCCTTTTTGACATATTCAAACAAAATTCAGCGATACAGTCAATAGTTTTCAGAACTTTCCCTCTAATGATACACCGTCCTCTTACATGTATTTAAAGCTGACGAGTAATCGTCTTTGTCAGATCATTCAGCTTTCAGGTTTCCTTGGATTTGAAGACGTTCCTAGTGTTATGTGCTGCGTCCAGGGACTAAATGAAAGCAACCGTACTACATTTGACATAAGAGTACACTCGCATTCAGATGTAAAGTGAATAGTCTCGTTTGTTAATTAACTCGTGGGAGGTGATAGCGTTGTGGCTATTTAAACATAATTTCAAGGGTTGGGGGTTTGTTAAGGTATTTTAAAGAGACCGCAAATGACAGCAGCGTAACTAACTGAAACTGGACTCAACACTGAACTGAAAGACAGTGACTCCGAGTTTTTGTGTATCGTGTTTAACATCATAGTTCCCGTTTAATGCGTTCTACTTCGAAAACGGCGCATAGTTTAGAAACGCTGCCCAGAGTGGAGGCATTTGCAAACAGAATCCTTTAGTCAGTCTATCGTATTAGTGTTTGCACTAGCCCTGAGTGTGGAGAACAAAAACGAACGCTTTCGAAACTCTGATGTCACTCATATCATACGCGCACGGGATGATTTTAGTTTTTAGTCGCAGCATTTCATCGTTTTAGAGCATTCATTTGGTTAACTTACTTTTTCTACTTATTCTTGAAAGACAAATTTTACTTAATTGGCTATGACATAGGTTTGATAGCGAAATACTAATACTAAATACTTGTTGATAATTTAGTCAGAGATGCTATTGGTATTTTTCTTCCTTCTGCGATCGTTGCTTAAATTTCCTTAAAGGAGCTCAGTCACGGTTTGCACATTTTGAAAAGTTTAGCCTAAATTTTCCAAATTCGTCGTTTGCAGTTCGTGTCAATCTTCGCCATCCTTGACCATCCTTGTTCCTTTATGGTTTATTATTATCTCTTTGATGTTCTTTTGTCTTAGTAAACTATTATTTTCAGGCATCCTTCCATTTAAAGGAGATTTTGTACGTGGCCGAAAAAAAAGACAAAACACCTTGACTGAGCTCCTTTAAGATGCACTTGTTGACTTCTTTGTAGGCTATTTGTGTGTTATATCTCGTTTCATATTTTGCAGATAATGCCTCCATCCTTGAGTCTTATTCGCGAGAAGTACCTGAACTCTGAAAACAAGGTATTTTACCACAAGTATCTGAAAATAGTATTAGTTACAATGGTGCAACCCTCTGGAACGGCGTACCCGGAAACCTTAGAGAGGCTAACTCGCTTACAAATTTAAAGGACTTACAGTATATTCAATCTCGTATTCATAAAATAGATACACGGCATTCATGGAAAACAGGTTGTTATTAGTACGTAATTTTCAATTATATAGTAAAATGAATTGTGTCGATGGTAAATGAATTTGTAATGACATATTTGTAAGCCCTGATGAATTTTTACCGTGTCTAAAGAATGATTAAACATTAAAGATAAAGATTAAAATTTTGAAGATAAAAAGGGTGAACTACTCTACTACTCTTAAATACAAATCTAATGCACCCTTGATTATTACCATACCAAGACTGGGTGAGTACCTTTATTGTTCCGTTCACAAATATTGACTGGTTCTAATTAACAAAAGAGATCGTGAATCCGTGAACTGTCGCTCCAGATTTAAACGAAGCCCTCACATTCTATTTCAGACGCGGTCGGCTTATTTGAAATACATGACCAAAGTAGGAAAGCTGCTCGGAGGAGGAAATGACACGAAAGAACAAATGGCAAAGGTTTTGGAGCTGGAGGGAAAGATTGCAAAGGTAGGTTAAAATTACTGCATTGTGTGAAATATTGCTAAGCTGTCGCACAGTTTAGTCTCGCTGACACTCTCTCCAGTGACTACCCAGGAGAAAAACGGGGAATTATTGAGGATATCTGATGGAAATGCTGATGGGCGCTAACAGTAATGGAACAAAATCTCATCCAACAACAGGAAAATTTTCAAGTTGCCTAATGCTTCGTACAGAATCCAGGATGTTGAAACAGATTTTACCCGAGGGATATAGCATCATCACTAATGTCATAATCACCAAGGACACAAGTTATGAACCTCCAAAAATCTCATAATTTACTTTTAAAGTTATATTTTTCTAAACGGACAAATTTATTGTCCAGTAGTGGTTGATGATGTTGTTTTTGATGATCTTGTTGCAGATAACTCCGCCACGGAGTGAGTTAATCAAAAATTTCCAGCGCACCATGAACATAACAGAACTTCAACGCAGGGCCCCAGGATTTGGTGTAAGTTGTTTTCTTTGCTTTCTCCTCAAGAGATCAAAATCAGTGTGAGAATGCATGGGCGAACAAGAGCCTTAATTTTGCAAGGAATTAAATAAGTTCCTATAGTTGTGGTTCAATTATTTTTCTCAAACTCATTCTTAATTCAACAAGTTTATAGCATAGATTTTAACGATTTTATTTCTCCGTTTTCTCCTTAGTTTTAATGAGACGCGTTTGACCACACTACTAAACACCTCGAAGTTCGTTAAAAATTCTATGCTGCGCGTCGTATTTTCAACTCTCTTCTCGGTGTTTGGAAATCGAGGGTCAAACACGTTTTTTTGTGTCAAGACCTCTCAAGTCAATAGCATCAGAAAGCAATGAATGCAGATTCTACAAATCGTGACAAATAAGCCTCGCACCTTTAGTTTGTGATTGTTTGAAGTCTAAAGTAAGCAAGTTAAAGCTGATTATTCTAGAAAGGTGAACCTAGTGTGTAAATAAGCCATTTCTGGCTAAACTACAGCTGAATACAGGGCCACTTTTGATCATCCACCAAACAAGCCGGCTCGTTTGGCTCGCTTGCTCCCTTGTAATCCACTGCCGAGCCAAACGAACCAAACGAGCCACTACAAAAGTGGCCCTGTATTGTGTAGTTGCTCCCCATTTCTTAACAGATTTCCGATTTTCTCTCAGTCCACATGGTTGGAATTTATAAACAAGCTGTTGAAACCTTTTAATGTCTGGGTGAACGCATCAGATAGCCTCATTGTACCTTCCCCCGAGTATCTACGAAATCTGTCTCATGTTGTTAATGAAACAGATAGGAGGTAAGAACGGCGACTTTCAATAATTTGTAGTTATGGATAAATGGAATGGTGGGTTGACTGTGTCATTTTGCATCACATCATTGCAGTGCAACACAGCGATGGCTGAGGTGAAAGTAAAACTTGTTGTTAATAAAAGGTATCCTGCAGGATCTAAGCACAGAGAAATCTATTTTAGTTAAATGATCAATTTTTTGTCTTTCAGTCAATAAGTCTGTCGGTAAGACAAACTGAAGTCGTCTCGGTAAATATATCCGTCGGCTTTTATATATTAATTCCACTTCTTATATAGCTGGACCTAGTTGAATCTAAAGCGCCCTTTTATTGTTGATTTTTCTTATCCCTAGATTATCATCACGTGGCAATGACTACATCGCCCGGCGGGTGACAATTAAGCAATTGTCGCCCGCTTTTCCACAATAGTAGAGGTTTCTTTCTTCTTGCCTTATTACTTTACACTTAACTCCAGCTATCTGGAAAAACAATGTAATTATTGTAATTAACTACTGTCGGGACCTCTGGGAAACAGTAAGGGACCAGTATTTTAGTGTTTTGTTTTAGTGCAGTAATAAGGCAAGAGAACTCAAAGTAGCCGATCGTTAGTGGGAGAGTGAGCAACAGTTGTTTGATCATTGCCCCCTGCCGACGTTTAGATTAAACCATTGCCACGTGACCATAAAATATTTAACCAAAAGAAGAGCATGTGTTAGATTCAACTAAACTTCAGTTATATAACAGTGTATATTAATTTTTGAAAAGAATTAGTGACATAAGTACATTTGTAAGGCTTCCTGTTTGCAGTTATTCATTGAGTGATATGTGCTTCTTCTTAGAAGCTTATAGAGCTTCATCCATCTTGTTCCCAGGACTCTGTCAAATTATATGATGTGGACCTTCGTACGTTCTGTTGTCCCCTATTTGTCACGTGATTTTCGGTCTGCGTTATTGGAATATCAAAAGGAAATGGAAGGCAAGAAAGCTGCCGAGACACGATGGTTGTCGTGTCTGGAGGACATTAATTCCTACAGCCACGGACTTACATTTGCTCTAGGCTATATGTGGGTTTCCAAGGTTTTCGACTCTGACGTGATTCCACTCGTGAGTGAAAAACTGTATCTCTTCTTGATGTGCTAATTTTTCCTATTAAAATAGCAGGGCATGGACAGGAATGGAATTTTTGATCCACGAATAACGCTGAGCGTTAGACCGTCCTCTTCCTTTTTTATTTACCCTTCTCTTACTCAATCAACGGACGTCGATCTTAGATTTGACTCGAAAAGCTCTTTACTGCAGATGGTGTAGCTCTAAGAGTTCCGTGTAGTGCCCGCAGCAATTAAACGCTCTGCGCACGCCGACAGTTCCCGCCTAAAATGCCGTTCATAAATGTTTCACTTAGGACGGAAGAAGGCCCCTGTAACTTTTCTAAAATCCTCCGCGCTTTATTTTTTGCAGATTCAAGAAATGATGACGACGATTAAAACAACGTTTCGAGATGAAACGTCACGCTACGAATGGATAGATGATCAGACCCGACAAAAAATTATCGAAAAGGTGTGAATTAAAGCTGAGTGAAAGGTGACATTTCTTGACCTTCCTTGCAAGATTTTTGTTACAATCATTCATTCGAATCCGATCTATAATCCATCAACATGCTACTCGCCACGTTGGCTCGACGAGAACCAATTTTAACACAGGTACAATCAAAATTCAATTCTCAGGCACTGTTAGAAGATGGACCTTACAGGCTCAAATTGTTTAACTGTCCTTTAACAGTGTTTAGATAAAGTTGATGTTAATTTGTTGTAATCTTGTTCGTGATTTTTCTTGATTTCAAGGAAAAAGCAATGAAGAACAAGATTGGTTTTCCAAAGCTCTGCGCCAATGAAACATTGCTGAATGAATATTATAAAGATGTAAGTCCCGTGATTGATGCAAATGCATGATCCTTCTTGTGCTTGTGCTTGTTCTTGTTCGTGCTCGTTTTGTTGTTGTTGTTGTTGTTGTTGTTGTTCTTCTTCTTCTTCTTCTTCTTCTTCTTCTTCTTCTTCTTAGTGTTACTATTGTTGTCGTTGTTCTTCTTCGTCTCTTCGGCTTCCTGTTCTCCTTCGTCTTCGTCCTCGTCCCTGTCTCCCTCGTCTTCCTCGTCTTCGTCTTCGTTTTCGTCTTCGTTTTCGTCTTCGTCTTCGTCTTCGTCTTCTTTAGTGCTTTCCTCTCCTTATTCCATTTTCTTGCGTTAGTGCCAACTTACCTCCTTTATGTAACTTTTTTAATACTTTCTCTCAGCTCGATTAGCTTTCTACTTATCCTAAGTAAATGTACCTAATGTTTGTATTTATAATGCCATGTTATGTACACTGAAGGTGCTAATTATCAACTTCGTCTCCGTATGTCGGCTTATGTTTATGCTTATATGAAAACCAGCCTTAAGTTTCATTTTTATATGATCATGAAACACGCGTCACGGTTGTAACAACAACAACAACAACAACAAATACTTATTTGGCGCGGGAATACAATATCAATATAAACAGAGAAAACATTAAAATATTTAGGCAAAAAACTATTCAAAATAGTGAAAAATAATTCAGACAAGCTGAGTAGCTACATACTTGCTGTAGATCCAGCATCAGCCAACTCTTGGATTTTTATAACAAAAACAACATCTTTTATTTAAAAACGGTGGGCCGTGTAAAAAATGTTAATAGGCTAATAAAAAAAATTGAAAGAATGCAAAAAAGATATGAATAAAATCAATAAAAGACGAAATCAAAAGTCAAAAGGGAAACCATTTGCGGTGACTCTTCAGTAAAGTTCAAGTTTCTGAGGTCGGGAGACTTTTTTTTCCCTTTAGCATAATCTCTGGCACTGACAGTGCATGGTTCTAAAAGATTCCAAACAATGGATCCTCTGTATGATAGAGAGTTTTTCATATAATAAGTTTCAAAACGTTGTACGCTGACACGATGTTGATGACGGAGGTCATACTTAGACTCTTTCCCTTGGATATTGAAAGATCTGATTGTTCGCTTCGTTTCATTTCATTTTAGATAAACATCAGCCGCAGCAATTACCTTCTGAATGCACTGAGAGTGACGAAGTGGCGAACAAGGCGTTCCTTTTCGGAATTTAAGAATCCAGTGGACAAAGAACAGTGAGTACAACCAAGGCGCGCGTCAGGGCTTGCGTGAGTTGTCAGCATCCCGCGAGTTTGGGCTAAAGCTGATCAAAAGGAACAAATAAACGGATTAGCCAGATGAACGGAAAAAAGGCGGAGATCGCGCAGTTTTAACTTAGGTCGCTCAAAGCAATGTCCATTCTGTTTGGTTCTTATTGTCAAGGTTCGTTGGTTGTCGTCTCAGTTATGATTGACAGCAGCTAAAAGCGCTATCGTTAGTGTGGGTTTGAACTTCAGAGTTCGCGTTCGACTGTTATTAGAGAACTTAAGTAAACCACGAAGGCAACAGCAACGGCAACGAGAGCGCCACCAAACAAAAGGTTAATATGCAGAACAATGGCTGTGCGTTATAAATCTTTGTACACTTCTTTGCCGTCCTCTACACAACAACGACGTGAAATGACTAAGTTCTGCGTATCTTGGAGAACGCGAAAGACTGATTTTTCGTAATTATTTTCATTTGAAATTGATCGCTGGTGTTGCATGCATGATCAGCTTGAGCAAGTTCTGAGACCAATGGGCGCTCTGAACAGATCTAGACAATTCCGAAATTCGACGGTAACTGATATAAATTCCTCTTTTACTAGGCGTTGTCCTCGGGGTCGCCATTGTCATTGTTAACGAAAGGCGCAGTAAAACATGACTCGGGGAAACGATTCTCTTTGTCTGACGGCAACATTTTTTACTTTTAACACTATTCGCGTATTTGTTTATTCCATTACAGGTGGTATGTTGGACCTCAGCTGGTGAACGCGTTTTACTTACCTAACAGAAACGAAATAAGTAAGAAATTATGATAATTCGCCATTTCCACATTCCCCATAAACACCTTGTTTGGCCCCCAAAATTTTGCATAAGCATTGTCTTCAGTTTCTCTTGGGACGACTGTAATACCCAGGAGAAATGGGAAACAAAGGTTATGCAGAGTTTAGGGGACAAACAAGGTGTACTGTGGAGGATGTAGAAATGGCGAATAAAGATCAAATATTGAAACTAATTAATCCCACTGGTTTACCAATAGATTGTGTGTATTGTCGCGCAATAAAATATAAAAGTAAAAACCATTCAGTGGATAAAGTCAAGAAATTGTGATATTGTAGACGATAAATAAAGAAGAAAGTTCTCCAAGTTTAAGGTGTGTGCGTTTTCCCAGAGTTGAGATATTCGTCGAAATGTTCCGCTCAAAATTATAGAGCCTAGTATGGAGCCGCCATGTTGGAGGACCTTCTTAGTCCTCCAATATGGCGGCCGGAAAATAGTGTAAACATCTGGAACTTACTGTGGCTATCTAGACAACTGATTATCATATCTGAACCGAACCAAAAAACATTTACACAAGCACTTTTCCTAATACTTTAACTCCTAAAATGGCTAAGAATCACGAGACAAGTGTATGTTTTTCGACAAACGCGATCTTAGCTTCATGTCACACACCGCCATAACTCCGAAATTCAAAATGCGCTGGTTTCCAAACGAAGGACGCTGCTGAGCTGGAAAGTTGTAAACGGATATAAATTTAGTAATTCTTATTCCTGAAGAGGATGAAACCTTTAGGGGCTCTTTAGTTTTGGATTTGAGAATTTAATGATGTCACGTGAGCACACTCTATAAATGTTTGTACTACGGCCTGTACAAATATGAAGGATCATATATGTATATCATTGCAGTTATATACACAACTTAAGCTGTTGTGATTAACTGCTTAAGGTGTGTATATAACTGCGATGATGAATCATGTCTTCATATAACGGCCTGTAGCACACGGGAGTACAGAGACGGTAGTAAATGACCAAAGACTGTTGAGAGTGTACAATTTCCTGTGTTCTCTCTCTCAGAAAAATGCCAGTTTGCACTTTAACAGTCTACATATTATATGCCATGAATTTTAAAAAATGTTTCGACAACAAAATCTTGGTACCATCTTTTGCTTTGTTTGGAAATATTAATCTTACTTAGCACACAGCAACTGGATATTGTATCACTGATGCTGGAATTTTGCTTTGTGGCTGTGGCAAATTGCTTAGAGAGCTTAGTCCTCTACACCGTATTTCAGTTTCCAACGTTCTATACCGAGATTGACTGATTTAATTTTTAGTAAGCACATCCTTAAACTTGAACAAAGGTAAAGGTAAACTTTATTTAGCCAGGGTGGCCCATTCAGCGACGAGGCTGATATCCAGAGGGGCCCTGGACAAATTCAGTGAACATTACTCACAGTAGAACAATCTAAATTTTAAATAATTTTGCTGCTTTGTTTCGATAGACATCCTGGCCGGAATTCTGCAGCCACCATTCTTTTACGGACAAAAGGCACCAAGGTAGTACATTATAGTTTATATTTTGTTTCCCCTTGCTTGCCATTGTACGCTTCTTTATACACTTGATCGAGAAAAACCGTTCTTGAAACACTTGTGTAATACTTAACACAAATTAGTGCATCTAAGAGTAAGCTGGTCAAAAAAGAAATACATTAGGTAAGAAATCTATGGTTTTAACAATAGGAGTCTTTAAGCGATAAACTGATACAGGGACCTTTTGGCATTTTCGCGTCCTACCTACATTTCAGGCTGAATCATTCATATCTCATGTTTTTAGGGCGGTGAACTTTGGAGCAATTGGAATGGTTCTGGCACACGAACTTTCCCACGGATTCGACTCGACCGGTCAGTAATTGAATCAGAAAATCTCATTCCTTAATTTGTAAGGTGACTCCATAGGGTACATCATTTATCGCTTTGCGCGCGCTGGTGTTTTGAAAGCTGGTTTTCCTTTGAGCTCGGGCGGATTACTAAAGCTTAGAATTCCTCGTCTGCATCTCGCTAAAGATGGATTTGCCAAACACGCCCCCTGCGAAGTTATAAAATCAGCAATACATGTACAGACTAAAGGCATAGACCAGAATGTCGTTATTATAAAGTCTTTATTTCAATTGAAGACCATAATTTTGCAAGAAAAGGAGTATTTCCACTGTATGCAAAATATTTGGTCAACCCTATCCTGCCCGGGAGGGGGGGGGGGGGGG